ATCAGTATTTGTTGTCTGAATGAATGAAGATATGTGACTTCCCTTCTCTTGTGGGTGATGAACATCAGCCCATTACTAGGTGTTCAGGGGCATAGTCCACTCTGACATGCCTGAAAAATGAGATGGGGGAGCCATTGGGGTGGGCAGGTTTGAACAGAGTGGCGACATAATTTGACTTCCATTTTACCAAAACTTCTGTGGTTGTTGTGTTGAGAATGAAGCGCAGGAGGACGAGAGTGAAACAGGTATGAGTGATGGTGGCTTGGGGTAGGATGGTAGCAGGGGAGGTGAGAAGAAATGGGCGGATTCTGGACACATTCTGCAGGGAGGGTCAGCAGGATTTGCTGACAGATTGGTTGTGAGGTGTGAGAGAAAGAGAGGAATTAAGGATGACTCCAACGCTTTTGGCCTGAGCAACTGGAAGCTCGGAGCTGTCATCCGCTGAGCTGGGGAAGGCTAGGGGTGAAGCAGGCAGCGGAGGGTGAAGGTAGGAACTCGGCTGGGGACCTATCAACTTTGAGTCACTCTACTTGAGCACATCCCAGTGGGATGTCAGGCAGCAGTTGGGAATACGAGTGGGGTTTGGGAGAGTTTCAAGCTGGAGACATGCCTTTGTGTCACCAGCACATAAAAGGCATTTGAGTCTCAAGATTGGATGAAATCACCAAAAAGAGTGAGTTTAGGAGAGAAGAGCACCCAGGACTGAGCTTGTTCCAAAGTTAACAGGTTAGGCAGAAGAGGAGTAACCAGCAAAAGAGACTAGGGAGTGATTAAGAGGAAGGAGAAAAACCAAGAGATGGCAGCATCCTAGAAGCCAATGGAAGAAAGTTTAACAAGGAAGATGGAGTGATCAACTGTGTCAACGCTGCGAGAAGATCAAACATGAGAAGCTGAGAACCAACCGTTGATTTTAGCAAGATAGAAGCCATTGGTGACCTTGAGGAGAAGGATGGTGGTGGCAGAGTGATGGGTGAAAGCCTGTTTGGAGCAGTTTAAAGAGAAAGGAATGAGAGGAATTCATGACAGTGAGTATAGATTACTCTTTTAAGATGGCTTCCTGCAAAAGACAGCAGAGAAGCAAGTGGTATCTGGCAGAGGAGGTGGGTCAAAGGAAGGTTTTGTTCTTGTTTAAGATGGGAAATATCCAGAAGAGACAGAAGACTGATGATGCAAAAGAGAGAGGGGTGAAGTGTCAGAGTAAGGTCCTGGATGTGTTCTAGTGCCCAAGAGAAGGGACTGGGTTCAGCCAGGAGCATGGATGGTTCATCTGTAGCAGCCAGTAAGGCAGAGTACGTGGGTGCAGAGGCTGGTGAGTGGGCAGAGGTGGTGGAAGGAGTCAGTGGAAATTCTGTTCAGCTGGCTCAACTTTCTCAGGGAAGGAGGAGGCATGAACTGCGTGTGAGGGAGATTTGACCCACACAGAGAAGGTGAGGTGAAGACAGAGAAGACAGAGATTTGAAGATGCTGGCCTTGAAGACTGGAGGATGTGGCCACAAGCCATGGAATGCCAGCAGCTACCAGAAGCTGGAAGGGGCAAGGAGCAGATTCTCCCCTGGAGCCTCTGGAGAGCGCGCAGCTCTGCCGACACTTTGACTTCAGCCCAGTGTTACAAAGTTTGGGCTTCTGGCCTCTAGAACTGAGAGAGAATAAACTTTTGTTTTAAGCCACTAGGTTTGTGGTCACGTGTTACAGCAGCGTCAGGAAATGAACACAGGACTAAAGGAGAACTGGTTATCAGAAGACCCCTTGGCCTGTTCACCACCATATGCCTAGCACATGGCAGAGCCCAATAACTACGTGTGGAATGGGTGAACGGGCAGCAGCCAGGCCCGGGCAGCCACCACCCCACCGCTCCCCACCACAGTCTGCAGTCTGGCCTTCTCTGCCGCCGGCCCAGGGGGTGTGAGAAGCACCCTCTAGCTCCCAGGTTTACATGTTTCAGCTGTTGTCACCCAAAAAGGTACCGAGAGATGTGGCCTCTATTCCCTGGAAAAAGGGACCCCAAAAGGCTCAGCTTGGACAAGTACCCACGGTTCTAGGTTCAATCAACAGAGAAATCAAATCACATTGTACAAGGTCTGTAATCCTGTGGATGGGGGCAGGGAGCAGCTTCTATGTGAAGCAGCATCAAACAATTCGGTAGGTGTCCTTCACAAAGAGCACTGTTTCTGGGCTCCTGACCACGAGCTCCCACACGGAGCTTCAGCCCTTGGTCTGCTTAGGAGGTATACTCTGCTGTCCCATCCACAGGCGGGGCACTGAAGATTAACGCAGGTCACTTGCTCAAAGTCACATACAGGGCGGCGGCAGAGCCTGAATCCAGGGCTGCAGAACACCCAGAGGCTGTGTCTCAACACTGCACTCACCTACCTTCACCCTCGGCTCCATGCAGGACGGAGACAGCTTTTCCAGCCCCCAGTGGTCTCCTCCTCACTTTAGGTTGCTCCGTAAGAGGGGGTTGTTCTGGGCCAGACACTGACAACTCACAATGTTCTCAGCCAAGCTTTAGGAATATTTGAATAAGAGGAAATAGGACAGACAAGAGCTCCTCTCCTTTTCTTTATTAATGAGTTGAGATACACAAAGACTTAATAAAAAGTTACATAAAAGGCTCAAGCATCATTGAGATCTTCAGGCATCACTCTCGTTTCATGACAATGGCCACCTGTGAATACTGTGTAACAGAAGTGTAACCTGGGCGCTCACAGGTGCTCGGTAATTCAAGTATCTGTCATTCGAAGGAAGCCCGACGTGGGATTTCTAGTCCAATGGATCGCTAACGGAGGGCACGTGTCTGTGGCTCCTGATTCACTGTACCACGTCTGAGGGGCCTTTGGGTTAGAGCTGCCATGTGCTAGTGGGTCACGTGTCCCGGCAAAGTGAGACAGGACACACTAGGCTACTAGGCACTCTCCACAGCAAGCGCCACAAGAAGGTAGGGGGCAAAGTCCTAAGAGAAACCATCCAAGCGCCCCCTGTGTGGCAAAGTGCAGGGGAAGTCAGTGGCCATAGCCCCAGACTGTGGGGGTGGGGAGGATGGCTAGGGTTACCTGCTGGGGAGAAAAGGAGCCCTTTATGGGGGGGGGGCCAGTAATCAGAATTTTAGAAGCAAATCTGAGAGCACACAGTGGCAAAGGCATAGGGTGAGGGGATTTCAGGAAGGGTGTGCTCCAGGGGATGTGATGGGAGCACTATTCAGGTGGTCAGAGAAAACACTGGGAACACCAGGACGTCACCAAAGATACAAGTCACATTGGGCTCCTCAGTCATAGAGTAGCATGGCCAACTGGTTTCCCAGACTCACCCCGCCAGGTGACCATGGAAAAGGCATTGTATTGGGGATGCCCCAGGGTATACTCCACTCTGGCCTATCTAGAAGTTGCCACTGCCACAAGGGCCCATGGTTCTCTAAAGCACAAAGAACTGTCTTTTAAAAGTATATTTACCCATCTCACCTCTGGTGAAAATGAGGTCATGGGAGAAGAAGGCTGACCGTTGGCTCAACAGCAGACGCTGCAGGCCACCCGCACCATGGAGTTAAGCTGTGGGCTGAGCGCAGGACAGATGCCCTGGAAGATGGGGCCAGGGGTGGGGCAGATGCACTGCCCCTGCTGGGGGGACCAGAAGCATTGGAACGCCTTTGTCTGGTTATCTTCATGGCTAAGGCCTTCCTTCCAGATAACTGATCTGCTTCCAACAAGACTCCCCACGCAGTGCTCTCAGGGAGCTGCAGGCTCCAGAGTGGGCAGGGGTGTGTGGTGGTGGTCTGTGCGTGGCAGAAGTTCTCTGGCAGTGGACACTGCCTTGTGAGGGGGCTTCTTGTCCCACCCCACCACTCCCTCGACGTGAAGCATCTCCATTCTCACTTCCGCCCGCCTGCCTTGCCTCTTCCTGGGCTCCGGTGTGCGCTGCCATCACACTGCACGCAGAGCTGCTATGGACGTGGCTCAGAGGACCGCAGGGGCTGGAAAGGGCCTTGTCCTCTTAGTGTTTAAAATGCCCCTTAACATGACAGGATCTTGGGAAGCTCTGAAGTGCCTGATCTGGAATGTTCTGTTATTCTTCCCTTTAGGGTCAGAAAAAAAGGGCCATTTAGACAAATAAGTTTGATTTCCAACTAACGGAAGTCCCCACTGTCTCATTCTGCAGCAGACTCACTCTTCAGCTGGGCCCCTCGGTGCTGGCGATCTTGCTGAGTCAGGAACTCAGCACGGGCTCAGGACTGGAGAAGGATCCAGATGTCCCGATGTCCAGATGGGCGCTGCCCCAGGGATTCTTTCTCCAAACAATGGCCAGGCCACCCGCTGAGGGATGTTCTACTTTGCCTAGGGACCTGATTTGTAACAGATGGAAAATAAGGCCACTAGCCACGCCACCTCATCTTTTGACCTTCTCTCAGGGGCGCACTGTTTTTCCTGCTGCCCCTCTACACCAACCCTGGCCAGAAAAATCCAGTCTTGGGCTCACACCAGCAGCACCTGAGAGGGAGGTGGGCATCATGAGGGAGCTGGGCGACTGTCCCCTTGCAAACAGGTATATGGGGGCCATGTCATCACCCCAACCTTCCTTTCTCCTCCAATTATGTATGATGGTTAAGATCCAAGAATTTCGTAAAAGTGTGTGCCAGGAGGGCAACCTATTAGTCAGTTTGCAAATGCTTAAGGGGTTTGCTCATTGACTGGGCCTAAGGAGTGGTAGTCGGTTGACTCCAAGGGAAGATGGCTTCAGGTCTCCGTGCTGTTTTAGTAATAACAGTATTGGATCATTTTTGGTTAACATTCTGCATGAACTAGAGTTTTCTGGATGGCATCCACACTAGCTTACTCTGACGTGGAGACGCATCCACGCCTGTGTTTGTGTGTTTGCGTCAGAGGCACCAGGTAGCTCAGGTGATGTGAGAGCAGGGAGAGACAGGTCTGAGGAAGCCCTCACACAGCTGTGGAGAACAGAGAACCGAACCCACACTTCTGAAAAATGAAAGAACGCTCTGGCAAAGCCAATCAGCCTACTTTCGTTTATACATTTCCAGGATAATGAAACCCTTTTAGAACGGATGTGTTTGTGCCAGCCTCTCCCTTCAGCAAAATAAAATTCTGTTTCCTAATATCTGCATCCTCAACCATAGTAAAACCTTCTGAGTAAACACATCTCTCTTCTCTCCAGTTTACAGGCCAGGAGTAGGTCTGTTTCTCCTGATGCCTCCAGCTACAGCTCCCACTAACTTCTAGTCTCTCAGTCAGCCCACCTCCGTGTTGTGTTGAGTTTTGGCACTGCGAGAGAACTCAGTTACAACAACAACAACAATATTCCAGACATGTGGTCAGAGAGGTCTGCTGAAGACTTGAAACTTCACCAGGCAGAGGGCACAGACCCCTTTAATAAAATAATAATCACTAAAATAATTTAAAAATCTACAAAAGACACCCAAGCTCAGACACTGTGGACGGGGGCAGGGGGGAGCTTGTTCATGGCTTGTTCTGTAGTCTGCACGTGAATGACACTTCCACATCAAACCAACACCATGTAGTTCAAAGAAACAACACAGCCACCAAGAGAGGGAGGAACCGGGTGGAATCAACATGAGGGGCTTGGGTGCTGCTTCTGTGTAGTGTCGCTTCCTTATCCCTTGTGAGATGGGAAGCCTGTGCCCTTTCGGCGAAGCCAGACCCTAGCTCCTCCCTGCCCACCCTCCTTCCTCCCTTCCTCCCTTCCTATGCCAAGTCCTTGGGCCAAGGGTCGTGGTTAGAAATGGTTTTCAGTGCGGTTAGGCAGTGGAGGGGTGTCGAGGGCTGGCCAGTTCACGGTCACTGTGCCAGGGCCTCAGGCCCGTCACAATATCACGCACTGCAGTTTGTGGGTGCCAGTGGCCCGGTCTCCCCGCCATTTGGTTTTCTTCTTCTTCTTCTGGCTTTTTTCCGGAATCTGTTGCCTTTTGAGACAATGAAAGGCAGAAAAATAAAGTCAAAATGGGCTGTGCTTCTCCGTGCCCTTCTCCTCCCCGGCCCCGCCCCTCGGTCTGCCTGTTCTGGCCCTGGGGGTGGGGTGGGTGGGGGAGAGGCTGCCCTCCTTGAGGCTGGAGGAAGGCCTGGACTGGATGGAGGAGGGCCTGGCCTGGACGGCATCTCTGAGGCAAGGAAAGGGGGAGGGACAGAGGGCAGGGCAAAACTCATCATCCTACAGAGAAGTCCTGACACCACGCTGTGGCCACATTTATTTAAATCACAAGCTACGTTACGCGTTACATAGCGTTGGCCTCTATTTCCATGTTTCATATTTTAAATAAAGTGACAGGTCAACTGAGTACAAAAGCTTTTTACATGTTTTCTGTGAATTTTTCCTAGGTGTAAAACCTGCCCTTGGAATTATAGGTCTGTAATCCAGACTTCACCACCTCCTGGTGATAGCATACCCTAGCTGGAGGTGAAGTGCCCACGAGAAAATCACTTTGAGAGTGCATAAGTGCCGGCTGAAGCACAAGTCCCTGCTGGGAACAATGAGACATGGAGCCTGCTGAGCGTGCGTGTGTGTGTGTTCGTGCGTGTGTGTGTACTGGGGGCTGAGATGTGGCAGGTCAGGAAGGACGCTGTCAGAGCCCTGTGTGTGATTTCAGCAGCCTAAGGCAACAGGCTCACTGCAGGGTGTTTGAGAACCACTGGTCAGGCTGCTCTGAATGTTGGAGATTTTGAAATGATGGGCAACAGGGAGACCAGGCAGGAGGCTGTTTCAGTCGTCTGAGCACGAGCTGACTAAGGCTGGGACCCTGACCACACAAAGGAAGGTACTAGGGACTGTGGATTGGGATTTCTGACAATCCCTGGAGACGGACAGTGGTGGGGTCTGGAAAGGAGACACATGTGTGATGTGGGAATCAGAATGCGGTTGTTCAGGTGGAATGCCCAAGGGCGCTCTGACGTCGGGGCAGGGAAGAGGAGACGGACCTTCCACCGTGTTGACAGCCGCGGTGTTGGGAGAACACGGAGGGCAGGATGGGGGGCTGCCCTCAGGGAGCCCGCACTGCAGGACCAGGGGAGGCCGGAGACGAGGCGGAGCTGCCGTGTAGCTGTGTGTGCACTTTACCCACAGGTAGTGGGAGGGCACAGGTCAGTGGGAGGGCGGGGGAAGATATGGACAGGGGTACGAGAAATCCAAAACAGCCCTGTACCACCGGCCTCGGCCTCACACAAAGAGCTGCGCCCCCGCAGCTGCGAGTGCCCGTCTTGCCGCAGAGGCGGTTCTGGGGGGCACGCGGGCTCACCTAATGACTCTGACGAGGTCATGGAAGGCTTTGTCGACGTTGAGAGGCGGGTCCTTGGCACTGGTTTCTATGTACGGAATCTGGAAGGCAAAGCCCCACTGGGTAAAAGCGACACTGAGCTCCACAAAGCCCTGTCCCTAAATGTAATTCCTGGGGGCCCTAAGGGGCCATGTGCTTTAGAGCCCCCCAGAACCCCAGCTCCCACAGCCTCGCCCTTCAGCAGCTTCTCGCTCTCTAAGGTTAGAATGTTTCACTGACAGCTTTTCCAATTCCCTCTTGTTCTCTAGTCATAGAGATATTTAATAGCTCCCTAAAAATAGAACAGAAATGATCTTTTTATACACTTGAAGACTAAAGACTGTTTCATTTATCAAACTAAAATACAATCTGACTCTATTCACTTTTCTTTCCGAGGTCTATTTCTCTACCTTGGGGTGCTTCTGCCCCTCTTCCTGGGCCCTACAGAGGGGACTCTGGGGGAAAGGCTGAGGCAAGGCTGGGCCATGGGCAGGACTCTGCACCCTGGGGACCCTCGGCCGCTCCGTGGCCCCCGACCCCCAAAACAAGCCTGCTGGGCCCAGCTCTTGTTTGGTCTGCGTCTCCGAGCCCGGGATTCCAGCCATGTGTACTGAAGGCTTGTGTCTGCATGTTTAACGCTGCGGAAGCATGGCCCAGCTGAAAGGCAGCTGAACATCAGGAGATGTGGCGGAGGTGACCCTGCAGGACGGGTTGCGAGGGCCCTGTCTACACCAAGCCGCAGGCTGGCACAGGCAGGAGAACTCCATGAGGTCAGGACACAGCCCTGAGCGCTCGTCCTCTCCTATAACAGGGATCCCACAACGGCAGGAAGGGCTCGCCCCACTCTCCCACAAGACACACACAACCGGCATGGGCTTCCCTAGGGGAGGTGGAGGTAAGCCAACTGGGATGAGACTGCAGAACTCTGGTATTTTTCGTAACTTATTCTTGATTACAAAATTAAGGTGTTTCATTATAATACATTTGAAAAAGAAAAGCACAGTGAAGAAAATAAGAATGGTCGACAATTTAAATGCACGGGGAGGTGGGTACCAGAGGAAGTTGTTATTTAGAGGAGTATGTTGTAAACCACTGCCCAGGACACATAATAAAGTCAGCATCTTCCCATCAAGTCTCATCACAGAGATCAGATGTTCCCAGCTGCTGTGGCGTCAAGCAGGGGTTTGCTGCAGCTGACCAGACACACGGGGCAGAGCATGTGGGGCATGCATGGCTCGGACCTCTGAAACAGTCATTCACAGATATCTGAGCCTCTGACAACGCTGAAAGGAAACTGCCCTCCATTGTGGGCTGTCCCATTGGGGGCTGTGCCACTGAGACTGTGGCCTGTTTAACTGAGATGACTGTGAGCTGTTGGCCTCCCAGGTCTCAGTATCCCTGACCTCACTTAATCCTCACGTTAACCCTCAGAGTTAAGCAAGTATCTCTATTATGCAGCTGGGGACACTGAGCTCAGAGTAGTGATGCACTTGCCCAAGGCCCACAGCGGCCAGCAGAGAATCAAGATTTGAACCAGGTTCCACTTCCTGCCTGGCCTCCCACAGAGAGGTGGGGGTCTCAAGGTCAGCTTCGGAGCCTCTTCCAGGTGTGGCAGGTGCCCCTGGTAGTGCCTGGGAGCTGGAGTCCTATAAGACCCTGTAAGGCCGGGACAGCGCTCTTCCCTACATGCACCCAGAAGGTAAGTGAGAAGGCGCCTGCAGCTGGGGCTGGGACCTCCCTGGAGCCTCTGCACATCCCATAATCCTCCAGCTCAATAAGTCCCAGGTTCCAGGGGCCTCGGCCCGCTGCTGCCTGCCATCCCACCGTGTCACTCAGAAGTACACTGTAGTAGGCCCCAGGTGCCCAGACAACCTCCACCTTCTTTCTGGGGGTCCTGCCTCTGCCACTGCAGAAACACTGATGTGCATTATCTGGGTCCCTAGAATTCTAGGATTTCAGGAGCAACAAGACTTAAACCAAGGAAACCCTGTAATAAATGGTGGCACCATTTATCTCCACCAAAGAGCTAGGAAATGCCAGCTTCCTGCATCAGGTACGGGCGACCTGCCTTGGTCAGCTAAGAACTTGCCCTATGAGCTCTAAAATTAGGATAGCAGATTGCAGAGTCATTTGGTCAAATGATAAATGAGGCAGCCGCATTGGCTGTAGCAGAAACATGGGCTGAGAGATCGGAGACCTGGGTTCTGGGCGGGGGGGGACACTTCACCAGCTGTGAGGCCCCTGGAATCCACTTCACCTCCTGGGTCTCATTCCCTTCTATCTGCAGAATGGGGCTACTGCCACCCCCTTGCAGCACCCTTCCCCCACCCCACTCACCCACCCAGGGCTGCTGGGGGGACACGAGAAGGCATTTGTGAAAGCCCTGAGCACCCCCTCTCAGGGGTCCTCTCAGAAGCCCCGTGACCCCACCCAGCACCATCCAGAGGGCAAAGGGGCATCACCATGAACTCAAAAACAAAGATTTCTGCTGATATTCACTGAGTGGCTGGGCACTCTCAGGGTCCCGTCCGGGACTCAGGGGGATGCGGGCACTCTCCATGACGCCTGCATCTTATGTCAGACCCAGCAGTCAGTTCCCAGCCCTCATCCAGAGACTTCTGAGCAGCACCTGTCTTGGTTGATCACGCCCTCCTCCTCAAGGCGTCCTCTATAGTTGGCTCCCATGACACCGCACTCTGGTCCTCGTACATTCCTGACCACTGCTGCCCCCTCATCTGCCCACACCCACAGCACTGAAGTGCCCCAGCCTCAACCCCGAACCCCTTCCCTATCTATACCCACTCCCTCGGGCTTCATGGCTTTAAGTTCTGTCTCTATGCCAGCGAATTCCAATATTTCCCACCAGCATGGTACATCTGACTGCTGTCTTGACATCTCCACTTGATTATCCACTTGGCTCCTCCAACTAAAGACATTTGCAGCCGGGCTCCGGGTCTTCCCACACTTACTGCTATGGTCTTCCCCTGCCCACGTACTGCAACTCCAGTCTTCTGAAAATTGCTCATGCGCAAAACCTTGGAGTCATCCTCGATTCCTTTCTCTTTCTCTCACCTCACATCCAATCTGCTGGCTCTCTTAGAAACACACCTAGAATCCAAGCCCTTCGCGCCACCGCCACGAGTGCCAAGCTGGTCTGCGTCAGCCTGCCCCAGGTTACCGCAGCAGCCCCTAACTGTTCTCCTGCTCCACCCTTGCCCTACCGACCATTCTCAGCATGGCCACCAGGGAGAGGCTGCTCAGCCCTCAGTCAGACCAGGTCACTGCTCACTGGAAACCCTCCAGTGGTTTCCCCTCTTACTCGGAGTAAAACCCCGTAAGGCGTCAAATCACACACCTCCTGCTCCTTCTGCTCCGGCCATACTGGCTTCCTTGCTGTTCTTCAAACTCCCGCCTCAGGGCCTTTGCACTGATTATGCCCTCTGCTGGCACATTCTTCCCCAGATATCCACATGGCTTATTCTCTCACCTCCCCTGGGCCCCTGCTGACATGACCCTTCCCAGCAGACCTTCCCTGACCACCCTATTTGGAAAAGCAGCCCCCTCCCTTTCACATTCTCTACCCCCTTCCCTGATTTACTTTTTCTCCAGTACATGTGACCTTCTGACACACTCTAAATTGCTTTGTTTATCATCTGTCTCCTGTCACTAGAAGTTAGCACCATGAGGCAGGGAGTGTTGTCTCCCAGGGCCGAGGACTGTTCACTGAGTATGTGAAGGAATCCAGAAGGCAGAGACAAGCAGAACTGACATGCGGTGGGGCCCCCTCCCTCTACTCACAGAGCGGGCCCACCAGACAGAGGGAAGGGGCAACTGTGCAGCCCTCCCAGCGGGCAGGGGGGACTTCCACATAACTGACCAGTGAGGCCAGGGGCACGGGCCGGGCCAATGCAGGGAGGGGCGGGAAGAAGCCCCGTGACCCCACCCAGCACCATCCAAAGGGCAAAGGGGCATCACCATGAACTCAAAAACAACAAAAACAAAGATTTCTGCTGATATTCACTGGGTGGCTGGGCAAACCTCAGTTTGACCCCTTGTAAGATGGGGATAATTATATGACTTACCTAAGCATGTGGCTGTGAGGAGTAAACGCTCCCCCTGCACAATGCCTGGCACAGAGCAGGCTCAGTGAATGGCCGCTGATCCCCACGATGCTGAGCATAATCAGGAGGCTGGCTCAGAGAAGGGGACAGAAGCCAACGTCTGCACAGCCCACGATGAATCTGCCATGTCAGGGGCCAGGAGGTGGCTTGCCGGCCACTGTGAAGGTGCCTGGTCCTGACATCAGAGCCTCTACTGACTGACAAGAGGGTGCTTTCTCTCTGGTCTGTTGTCTTGTTTCACACAATATCCCACATTGCACATGCCCCGCTAGGCCCCTCTGTGGAATCTAGCAGGCTCCCTAGCAGGCCCGAGCTCTATTCTGCAGACAGGACTCCAGGGGTTACAGGGTATTGACTTTCACATCCCCTGACCCCCAACACACACACACACACACACACACACACACACAACCTACATTGTGTTTGGTCGCCATTTCTTTTCCTTGCTCCCTGGTGATTTTCCTCAAGTGCATCAAGTCGACCTTGTTGGCCACGAGGATCATGGGGAACGACTCCCTGAGGAATAAAGGAACAGCAGCTCGTGAGGTGTCGCTGCCCCCACAGCTGGTGAAGGCCATGCAGCCACAATGCAGGCACAATACAGCCCACAGCACCCACCTGGTCGGCCTGGAGCTGACTTAGTCCCTTCCCTCCACAGCTCCAGGAAGGGGAGAGGGCCTGCAGCTGCTGGCTGTCTTGGTTTGAAGCCTTAGGCTTGCCGCAGGAGACCAAGGGGCACCCCTGCAGCCCCCTTGCTCGGCACTGTCAGTGAAGGCAGCCAGGCACTGCTGGGCCAGGACTGGGTCCCCAGACCTGCTCCCTCCCATCTGGTCACCCTGATGCCCCAACCATGCAGGGCTGTCGTGGCCATCAGCAATGGCTCTCAAAGAGCACCAGGACCAGGGTCTGGCCTGCAGCTGGCACTTGGTAAATGGCAGCTGCAAAACGGGGCCGGCTCCCAGGGGAGGATGGGCAGGATCAAGAGGCATGTCTGCCTTCAAGATTCCCGGTGACCTATGGGACTGAACTGCTGTCCAAAGGTGAATGAAATGACAGTCTCACAGCATCTTTGGCATCATTGGGTATTTTCATCAAAAAAATTATAATTTGACAGCTGAAAAACGGTCCTTTATTATTTTTCCTTGCACTTCTTTGATTAGCAAGAAGGCCGAATATTTTCCCACATCTGAGTCATTTGTTTTCTCTTTTGAGATTCCTATAGTCACGGGCTTGACCCACATTTATCTCTTGAGCTTTATGTGTGTGTGTGTGTATGTGTGTGTGTGTGAGTGTGCATGTTGTATGTGAGTGTGAGTGCATGTGTGTGAGAGCGTGTATCTCTTTACCTGGTAAAGTTATTAACCCTTTGCCTTTGGAATAGGTGTTAACTGGATTTTTCTGTCTTTCCTGAGATTTGTTCAAAGTTAGCTGTTTTTCTATTAGTTTATCTTTCTACGTCCTTTACATTGCCTCTTTAAGATCCAAATAACTGAAAAAATTGGTTAGGCTTAAAATAGACTCCAAATTATTTAACTACTCCATATACAGCAGTCCCCCCTTATCTATGGTTTCACTTTCCACAGTTTCAGTTACTGGTGGTCAACTGCGGTCCAAAAATATTAAACGGAAAATTCCGGAAATAAACAATTCATAAGTTTTAAATTGCGTGCCATTCTGAGTAGCCTGATGAAATCTTGTGCGGTCCTGCTTCATCCCACCCGGCACGTGACTCATCCTTCTGTCCAGCATATCTATGCTGTACTGTATAGGAAAAACGGTATATTTAGGGTTCTGTACTATTCACGGTTTCAGGCGTCCACTGGGGGTCTTGGAATGAATCCCCAGGGATAAGGGAGACTACTATAATGCTAATGAAAAAACGAGCCTTTAACTAGGGGCTTGTAAATCTCACAGTCAAATGTGATTTAACCAGTTACAATTTATACTGGAGAGAAAATTCACTTTTCCTTTGAATGTAATAAAATTTGCTTAAATTGGAGCCGAAAAACAGAGATGTTTCTTACGATTCCTTGATTCATCAGTGGGGACAGTTGAGGAGAGATGGGAGGGAGCTAGCTGACCCCTCGAGGCCTTGGAAGCAGTCTGGCCTCGGAGAAAGAACTAAGGTAAGAGTTGGAGGGACCCAGGTCTGAATGCAGCAATGCCCTCTGTGCCTCAGCTTTCACCTACAAATCTCAGAGCGGGAGAGACAGACAGACAGACAGAGCCTGCTCTGAGCCAGGAGCCGGGCAGGTCCCGGGCCGCCGCCCTCACCTGTCCTTCACGCGCAGGATGAGCTGGTGGAAGCGGTCCACGTGCTCGAAGCTGGCCTTGTCGGTGACTGAGTAGACGATGAGGAAGCCGTCCCCTGTGCGCATGTACTGCTCCCGCATGGCGCTGAACTCCTCCTGCCCCGCTGTGTCCAGAACTGCGGGGGATGAGGCTACTCAGGGGCTGTCACCCCCACCCTGCAGCCCCCGCAGCCTGCAGACCCACACGCTGCTGTCACCGTCCCCACTGCGGCTAGATCTGAGCCGTCTCCACGAGAGCCCACTCGAGCTCCCTGGGCTGTGCTGTAAGAGACCGGCGGGGCCTCAGACTCAGTGTGAGGCTCTGCCTGACTCCTTTGTGGACAGAGCGGTTCCAGCCCCCGGTGCTCCCTGGGCCTTCACTCTCCGTCTACAGAAAAGCCTCATCAAGTCGGTGATCAACTCTGCTACAAAATCCTCTGGAATCCCCGGATCTGGGCTTGGGTCCCTCATGCAGCCCTTACAGAGGGAAGCCGGGGGAAGTTACCTGACTCAGCCCCATTTCCTCCTTTGTAAAATGGAAATCAAGCCTCCACCTTGTAGCCCCTAGGGAGGAGGGGGGAGAGCCCCAGGGGGCGGCCCCGAAGAGGCCATCCTGGTCAGGCATGGTCCTCAGTCCCTGTGCCGACAGACACCAGGCAGGTCATGGGGAAGAAGTGGCCCCTGGAGAGCCAGGGTCACTCTCCTAGGATGGGGCTGTTACAGGGGTGGCTGTAGGGGGTGCTGGAGGGGAAGCAAGGGCGCTGGGGAGAACCACCTCAGCAAAGGCTCCTCCCCCATCCCATCCACCCCGCTCACCACCCCCACTCTGTGGATTCCTGAAGCCCACTCTCCTTCAGCTTCCTTCCTGCTGAGATAAAATGCTCACCTCTTGCCTGTTTCAGAGGTTACAGCCACGGCCTGGGGCGGGGGGTGTCCCTTTAGATGGGCAAGCCTGACCTCCTCGCATCCTGCCGAAGCCCTACGGGGGGCATGAAGTCTGAACCTCTCAGCATCTGCAAGCCCCTGCTCACCGTCTAACCTCCCCATTCTCCGAGCTCGCTCTACTCTCACCAGACCCAAATTCCCCTCTTCCTGGAGGCAGTGGAGCGGCTGGTTACAGATTTTGGAGCCATACCCCTGGGCTGAGTCCGGCTCCTCCTTCCCAGACTGTGACCCCGGGCAAGCTCACTTCTCTGTGCCTCCATGTCCTACAATGGGATCATCAGGGTTGTTTCAACTTAATTTTCTGCATGAAAATATGGGGATGCAGGGGACAAGAGAGAACGGCATCAAGGATAGTGGCTGTTTTGAGCCTGAGCCAAAAGAATGGTGGCACACATACTGATGGGGGGAAGACCGGGTGACAAGCAGGGTTTGGGGGCTCGGTTTCTGAGAACCTCTCAGACACCTATGTGGGACTTCAAATAGGCATGTGGAGACTTACGTCAGGAACTGAGAAGAGAAGAGGGGCAGGAGATACAGACGTGGGAGTTGCCAGTGTGGATGGCAAGGAAAGCTATCCAGTACACCCAGGAATGCACCTTTCCTCAGCAGGCACCTTGAGATAGTGCCCGAGAACGTGACCTTGTCCCCACAGCCTGTCATCCCTGCATATCCTCCCGAGTCACTCAGCACATCAGAGGGGCAAGGCTTGGTGGACACCAGGACCGGAGATGTGCCCCAGACACAGGAGCAGCTCATGGCTATTCTTGCTCACTCCTGCGGCCTCGGTCTCCTCACGGATGAAATGAGGGGCAGGGCTCCCAGACCTTCAGGTCCCTTGAGCTCTGACATTAGAATTCGACCTGGATGTAAAAGGGAGGTGCTAACAAAACTAATCTAAGCTGAGGACCAGTGGGGAGACTGAAGCAGTGTCCCCAGTATTTCCCAGAGAGGGGGCAGGAAGACTGCATCTTCACCTGGAGGGAGTGGAGCCTTTTCTCCTAAACAAATCCCACTCAGAACTGCAACAGTCAAACAGACGGAAATGGCGTGGATTTGGCTGAAGTGGGGATGTGAAGGCCTGAACTGAACAGCAGAAGACATTCCGGTAACGTCGTAATTAATATATTCACAGATTTTGAGGGTGTGTATTATCCAAAGCAAAAATTAGAGATCTAAGGTATTTAAAAATATGATCATTCAGAATTAAAAAGAAAAACACTCAATAGGGAGCTGAAAATCAAAATGGACCCTCTGTAAAAGAAAAATAGTATTTCAGACATTGAAGGTCTTAGAAATTAGATTACTCATGTTTTCTAAAAGGATTCTTGGAGGATATATTCCAGCAAAGTGAAAAATGGACCCATAAAAGAGAAAGATGAACGGTATGATAAACAATGGTAAGCAAACAACAAAACATAAGAGTAAAGTTTAAATAAATATTGTTACACAATTTAAAGAGGATGAATGACGATTTAGAACTGAAATCTATGATAATCCACACATAAGGATGGGGGTGGGGAAAAAGTAAGTTACTAGTACAGTTCTTGCCTCATTTGGGAAGAGGCTAAAGATAGTGATTATATCCTGATGCTGACAGAAAAATATAAGTATACACACATGTACATATACAGAATAACCACTAGAATAGAAATAAAACTCAAAACTACCTAATCATTAGAGGAAAGAAAACAGAACAAATGGGACCAATCCAATGAAAGGCAAAAATAAATGAAAAAAAAATAAGAAAGTTAAAAAAGTAGACAGGAAATAAGATGGCAGAAATAAACCTAACTATGACCGCTGACAGTAAATGCAAACGGGTTAAATTCACCTATTAAAAGTAGATACTTAATACAAAATCCATTTGTCTGCTACTAAAGACACATATAACACAAAATGACACAAAAAGGATGAAAACTAAAAGGATAAAAAAGAATATGCCAGCCACATGCATCCACAAAACAGAATTCAAGGCCAACGCATTAAACAGGACAAATCTGGGTATTCACATGGGAAAATGTACAAGCATCGAGAAGTGCCCAAGTCACAAATCATAAGCATCTAAAAATGTTGCCTAAAAATATATACATAGGGGACGGCCCAGTGGCACAGTGGTTAAGTTCACATGCTCTGCTTTGGTGGCCTGGGGTTCACAGGTTCGAATCCCGGGCATGGACCTACACACCACATATCGAGCCATGCTGTGGAGGCGTCCCACATACAAAATGGAGGAAGATGGGCACAGATGTTAGCTCAGGGCTAATCTTCCTCAGCAAAAAGAGGAAGATTGGCAACAGATGTTAGCTCAGGGCC